CACGTCCAGTCGTTATGTAGGATCTATAGTTTGATAGATATTACGAAGATGATTTGAGGTTTCGTCAGGAGAACGTGTATATGCGGCAAGCTTCCATGTAAAGTTATGGGTTGAAAACAGTATTTCCGCTCTCGACGTTTTCATAATAAAACCAATGATCAAATGATTTAACAGTGATATCTGCAGTACTCATCCACTAAAAAACATCAGTTTATCCTAGTTAATTATACGACATTAATTGGTTTAAATTGTGTACAATGCTTTTGTGTTTTTCCCATAGGGTTTTCTCTTTCGATTCTGAGAGACACATTTCTTTTTTCAGAGGTTTTGATAGGCTAAAATCACGCCGCAATGCACGTCGGGATATGGTGTTTATGTGATATGAAATCGGAAAACATTTTAAAAAATAATAATAATACTTTATTCCGAGTGTTCTTGCTTTTCTCTTTGAAAGTCATCACATAACGGCATTGTAATACACGGTTCGGCTGCATTACATATTACATATCTGCCGTAGATATGTATTTATAGAGCCCTGATGAGAAGACCTTTTGACAAACTGGAAGAGATGCCGCCAAAACTGAATACGTGACGTGGACCATAAAATATCAACAATTAAACAACATCTTCCATTTATTTTCACACAATACGTCTCCTTGCAGTATCAACACTAATTCGGCTGACTTTTATATTTGATCCAATAAGTAGATAGTCTGTATTTACACCATAACGGTGCACAGCTGATAGAAAGGGATTTTTTTGTAGTTTTTAAAGATATTACTGATTTTCTGAACTACCTTTCCAACTCCTCATGCAGTTGACTGTTACAGGTCTATACAAGTGTATGGTACAATGCAATGCATAAGCTTCACATCGAGAGACTGAAACTGTATTTTCCTTTACCGTTCTGTTTTAATTTCACAATAAAGTGAATAGTCATATTATGTTTGATATTATTATGTTTTATTAACTAGACCACTGGTCTAAACCGTACCTCCTAGTGGTTAAAGCACGTTATTGAATTTAGTTGTTGAATAAGTTTAATTTTTATGAAAACATTTAAATATTAAGAGTAGCCTACATACAAAATAGGGGTCAATGATAGAAATATAGAATAGAAAATATCAAGAAGATACTGTAGTGATCTCTACAATAAAACAGTTTAGTGCAGGACGTCCAAAGATATTAACAGGTGGATGTGCAAAACAGACAAACTGATAAGGCTGAATTTTACTCAGGTGTAACGAAAGTCTGATTTAAGGGTTGTTTATATTTCACATCATTAATCAGAATCTGCAAAGTAACAAAAATAAATGTAGTAGAGTAAAAATACCAGGTTGACCTCTGAATTGTAGTGGAGTAGAACAAAGTAGTACATGCTGCTGTAACAAAAACATTTCCCAAATTGGGATCAATAAAGTATCTTATCTTAAGATGATCGATGGCTACTGCCATATTTGCTAAATGTGCATCTGAACCTTGACAAGTGCATGTTTCAGGCTTATCAATTAACAACAGGAGGGGTCACAGACATAAGACCAGCTGTTAAATAAAGCTCTTCTGACCTTAGTTGTCATGTGGGTATATTAATGCTGCCCATTATGGGCACAAGCAATTTTCACCCATGTATTAATTATATGTTTTAAATTTGATAACACCAATGTGTTTTGTATTCCCTAAACCTCCAGGGATGTATACAGTTTAATACTGGCAACTTCTAATTGTGGGAAATACGAAAACGTCTTATAAAACTACAATTCCCAGTAGAGACGTGCCATAGAACATATTGCGAAACACACAATAGCCAGCATGTGTAATTCTGTGGGGGAGGGCTGGGCTGTACCCGTCCAAGTCCAGTTTTGGATAGTCTGGCGTGGTTCCATTCCATTTCAAAGAGCTGTTTGACATTCGGCGTAACCTTGTCGCACTGCCACTCCAACATCCAATCACAGAGCTTGAGGGCTAATCACGGGGTTTGTAAAGCAAGGCGGATGTTGTAGTCCCAAACGATAGCTGGGGATTCTGGGTAGTGTAGTGTCTTCGGAAACTCTGTAGTGTCTAAACTCCGAAAAAACTATTTGTTTCTCCGAATCGAAGGTTAAAAACACAAAAGCATTGTACACAATTTAAACCAATCAATATTGTGTAATTAACAAGGATAAACTGATGTTTTTAAGTGGATGAGTAATGGAGATCATTTGACAGTGTGGGGAATACTTCCGGTTTTATTATGAAAACTTCGAGACCGGAAATACTGTTTTCACCCATGCTAACTTTACATGGAAGCTGCCCCATATACAGTACACGTTCTCCTGGCGAGACCTCAAATTATCTTCGTATATCTATCAAACTGTAGATCCTACACATCCACTGGACGTAGATTATAAAAGTACAATATACACTTCTCGCTAGAAATCTAATAAAAAAGCATTTTAATGGCCAAACTATTCCACAATTTAGGATTTTCCAGAGGGTAATTTGTGAATAAACGACCCTCCGGAGCGTTTGCAATCGACAGGAGCATGTTGTTTCTTACACGACCACTAGAGGTGCTACACTTTAAAACGTGACTCTGGGTCGTATTTAGCTGCTGAACAATCGACCTATATGGTCGTTTTTTGTAGGAGAACAGGCTGTAATATTGCCATATCTGATTTACTATGTGGAGATTTGGGGAAACACGTACAAAACCAACCTACAGCCGTTATGCACATTACAAAAAAGGGCTATAAGAGTTATCAATAATGTTGAATATCTTGAACACACTAATGTATTCTTTTTGAAGTCACACATATTGAAGTTCATTGATCTGGTTAAATTTAAAACGGCACAAATCATGTACAGAGCCAGACATAATCTACTTCCTAGAAAATTAAAAACATTGTTCATAGACAGAGAGGGTGGGTATAATTTGAGAGGAAATCTACATTTTAAACAACTCAAGGTCAGAACAACTCTGAGAAGTATGAGTATAACAATCTGTGGGGTGATTTTATGGAATGGTTTGGAGCAGGAGTTAAAACAAAGCACACGCATAATTCAGTTTAAAAGGATATACAGAAACACTTTTTTGGAAAAATATGAGAATGAAGAAAGGTGATTGAAGACGAGAAATTATTGTATATGTATGTATAAATGTAAATGTATGTAGGAATAACTTGCATAATGATTTAAAGGACAATCATTGATCAAGTAAGGGGTGGGAATTAATAAGCATTTGCTTCCTCCTACTCCCTTTCGGACACATATGATTTATTATTATTATTAATATGAAGACTTTTTTTGTTTTTTTTGTTGAATATACAAATATTACCATGAATGTGGATAAATACTGTATTATAACAATACGGTATTCTGTTTTTCACATTTGTTATTTTTTATTTGTTATTTTTGAATCTGTTCGAAATAAAGACTGAAAAGAAAAAAAAAAATAGAAAAAAAATCTGCTGCTGCGAAAATGTGGGGCAGGGCTGAAAAGTGGGGGGGCCAATGGCCCCCTGGCCCCCCCTCTTCCGGCGCCCTTGACCATGATATGAACTCAGGGTCGGCCCGTAGCTCTGGCTAGATGTTCGCCTAGGGCGCCAGATCTGGGGAGGCGCTGCGCTGGCAGTTCTGGGAGGGAAAAAATGTTTTTGACCGTTGGGGCTCATCCTAATTTTCGGCCTTGATGTAACAATATTCATAATTAAGTAAATGTAACACCCTTTTCACCCCAGTTACACGTTTCATTTGCCCTGTACGATGGGCGCTGTAAGTGATGAAAATGGGGGATGTTGGCTTATCTGGCGCCCGCAGCTCACAGCCAAAATGCGAGGGAGAGAGGGAGGGTGCACCGGTACAGCGCTGTTGTTATTAGAATCTGGTGACGTGCTAGCTGCTCTAACGGATATAAGAAGAAGATGTTTCTACAATAATGTGGAGGGAGAGTCCTCTCCAGTCAGACTGATAACTACAGCTCAGTGAGGTAAAGTCTAAGTTCAAACGGTTTGGTCGCAATTTATGTAAACACATATTTCCAAGGCACTCCTTTATAATTATTGGGATAAACAGGTTTTAAATCATTCCAATGTATACTATAGGACAGTAACCAAAAATATCCTTTAAAACTGGAGAGATTAAAAAAAATGCATAAATAAATGTTAAGGTAAAATAAGATATGAATGAACAACACAAATAAAATAAGTTACATTCATTTGTTATTGGCTATGGTAGGTTATTGGTTATGTTCACATACTTATTTTATTACATCCACTTGTCTAAGATGACAACAGAGACTTTCGACCCAAAACCAGCTGTTGACTTGTGGATGCAAGCAGCTAATCGCAGACTCAACCAGAGAGAAAGTAGTAGGCCTACACATCATCAGCTACCATGTCTGACAGAGAGGAAGACAGTGAGGAGAACAGTCAGGAGGGGAGTGATGACAGCTTGTAGGATTACTGGTCGTGCTAATGTTGACTTGTGTTCACCTCTGCATGTGTGTTACTGTGTTCACCTCTGCATGTGTGTTCAGTGCCGTGTGTCTTGCAAATAAAGTCAAGACCCCCTCAAAAGTTACGGTTTATTTCATTTTAAGGATGAGCACCAAGCAACATCTCCAGGTGCTCCTTTGAGAACCAGGGCAAAAAAGTTATGTGCACCCCTGCTTATAATGCTGTTCTCACTTTTACGGTGGACCTCATTAATTGGAGTCCCTATAGGAGTGGTGCTTTCTACTAAGGCCCCTGAACGCACCGCCACGCGCTCCTCTGTGAGTGCGGGTGCTGCCATAATGCAACTCTTACCACTCTGGTAAATTGCATTAATTGGAGTCCAGTCATTAGTTTATAAAAACTGCTAATGTCCTGGAAATTGATAAATGTCTCTGCCATTGTTTACACACCAGTATTACAAACCAAACATGGCACAAGACTGGATACAATCATGTGTAGATGAATATGACACACACACACACACACACACACACACACACACACACACACACACACACACACACACACCTTAGTGGACGTATCAGTAGGTGTTGGGCTTGGAGTCGGCTGGAAATTATTCTCGTCCACCTACACATTTAAACAAAGGTCAATTTCGGAAACGATACTTTGAAACAAAAACAAGATTAAGCAGAAAACAGTATTTTCAAATAATCATATTATAATAGCACTGAATTATCTCAACAGCTGTCTTTCATACTGGTTTATTGTTCAACATTAGTTGCAGACTGATGCAGTGTACTCACTTCCATGTCCTCTGGAACATCATTGTTTGCCATTTTGACCGTCTTCTCCCTTTAATACAGAGCAAATCTGTCTCTCATAGTTTACAGCACTTTATCTGCATACTTCCGTAGAATATCGGTATTTGTTTTTTAATCAAAACAATCATTAATCATGTTAACATGATGTTTAAACGACAATCGCTAGACTCCACTTTCGGTTACGACTTACGCGACACGCTAAGGCTAACTTTAAAGGGCTATCATTTCGTCTTACATTTTCCGTATTTCCTACAAAACACTACGTTATGTCACGGACATTATGTCTTCTTTTTGAACATACAAATAACACGTTAAACACAAATATATGACACATAAGACGTACCTTGACCTGCTGGTACGTTAAACGCTGCTTCTTCTTCTTCTTCTTCTTCTTCTTCTTCTTCTTCTTCTTCTTCTTCTTCTTCTTCTTCTTCTTCTTCTTCTTCTTCTTCTTCTTCTTCTTCTTCTTCTTCTTCTTCTTCTTCCTGATACATGAAAGTGAAAGTAGTGCAGCTTCGCGAGACACATGACGTAACAGTTGCGACCTTTTATTTTTACCAATGTTTCTCCATAAACAAATCACACTTTATGAACTGTCTCCGTTTTGTATTTGTTGTGTACGGATCCCCGGAAGGGCAGGGGCGGCGCCAGGGGGGAGCTAGGGGGTGCTGAAGCACCCCCCAGGATTGCCAAAGCACCCCCTAAGCACCCCCAAGAAATGTGTTTTATTTTTTTTTCGAAAATTATTAATATTATTTTTATTAAATTAAATCAGAAAAATTATTGATTACATCAATGCAAATGTGAAACAAACAAATGTTTGACCAAAAACATAAAGCCAACACAGGTGATATGATTAGGCCAATGGCCAGCACCCATTAGATTTTTGACCTACCCATAGGCTAAATTACTTTGTGACACTTGAGTGACTTCCTGTTAGCTGGAGCCCCACATTATTTGCTAACAGCAAAGTGACAAATGGATCGTTTTTTAGTCCTTAAACGTCCACATGTGGACACTCAATCAAAACCAACTGAAAGCGAGAGGGATTCTACACATAATAGGCCTCGTGAGTACAAGTAGCTTACTTCTGGGTCTGTTTCATTCAAACTCTGCTCTGTGTGTGTGTGGCACGAGCCATTTTGTGTGCGTGCGCAAGCGAGCGAGAGCTCGCGCACCGGTGGGTATCTACCGGAGATCGTTGTGGTTAGCATCTGGTGCTCGCTAGCCAAGCTAACGGATATAAGGAGCTTTTTCAACAACAAGGTGGAGGGAGAACTCTCTCCTGTCAGACGGAGAGTCTCAGATAACCTCAGCTCAGGTGAAGTAAAGGACTCTCAGTGTTTAGATAGTTAACTTTAGTCTAGTTATCTCAGTGGGTCTGAAACGGTTTGTTTTAAAAGGGGAGTGATTTATCTATAAAGAAATAGAAAATCTGTTTACAGTTCTGTTTCATATGTATGTTGAGAGATACAGTATATCCATAGATTTCTTCATTTTGTTCTCAAAGTGCACCAGATTGATGCTTTTAACTTCAATATTTAAAAAAAATCTTCTGTAGCGCTGGTGCATTAATGGGAAACCCTTAATGTTTGAGCACCCTCTATGAAACGTCAAGCTACCCCACAGCACCCCCTAGAGAAAATCTCTGGCGCCGCCACTGCGGAAGGGCCGTTAGGGGGAGGGAAATCGAAAATGATAAAGGATTTGTCTTGCTTTTCGTAGCTCCATCGTTTTTACATAGATTGTTCCTACCCTGTAGTTTTCATACTTTTACTAAAATACACAATGGTACATTTCTTCTGAAGACGCACAAATCCAGAAAAATTTCATCTCGTCTTTTTTCACTTTTTTTGTAATGAAAAAGTATCTCTCATGACACTTTTCTTAACCTGTTAAGCCCCGAGCCTGTTTTCCAGGCTAACTACACTTCTAAATGGGGAAAATTAATAGTCTTTTTTCTCAAAGTAATGATAAACCTGTGAGTTGGATGTAGAAAAGTCAGAATCAATATAGATGTTTTATATTTTAAAGAAAATTCAGATTGAACATAGTAAAAAAATGTAAATTATAGTGTCCGTCCAAAAAATCTGTTTTACTTTTAGTGAAAACCACCCTTGGATGATGGGTTAGTAGCCTACAGTGGTTCTCAAACTTTTTTCAATAATACCCCCTTTGAAAAAGAAATTCAGCCAGGCAGCGCACAAAATATTTGTTAGGGAAACAATGCCTATATAAAGAGGTACAGTACAGCCTTGCACCATCAGTGTCTGATTTATTAAAACAACAACATTGTAACTCAGAAACACTTAAATGCTAAATTTCAAACGTTTACAATCCATCACTAAATTCATGGCAAACCAATTTTAACATCATGCAATAACACTAAGACGACATTAGTTACATTGAACTAATCTTTTTAATAAGTTGTACTTACAATTTAGTGAGAAACATGGGCTTGTGCTTCACTGAGGATCTTTGTCATTCTGACAGGGAGGCCACTGCAGTTATCAAATCAAATCAAGTTTTATATAGCACATTTATAAACGATGTTTGGTCAAGCCAAAATGCTGTAGCCTACATATTGTAGCGACCCTGCATAGGATGTCCAGGGTGTCACTCAGGCATCCCCCGTCTCTCGGCCAATCATAGAGCTGCACAGTGATGCTGGTTGAGGTGCGGGCCTGTGGTTGGGGGAGCGGACGGGGGAGGGCGGGCAGTTGTGACGTAGACACTGCTATATATGTGTAGGGGTAGGAGTTAGGTTAGTGTGAGGTAGAACCCACAAAGTGTACATGTGATCATCTGTAAAGAACAAGAGTTATTAAAGCCTAATAACGAGAAGCCTGTTTCCGACTCACCTTGTGAACGCTACATTGGTGTCAGAAGTGACTTTTCGAACGGAGGACGTTTATCCTGACGGGAGTCCGTAACTGCGTCACGGAGCTAGCCGGGAAGCTAGCGGAGATGGAAAAGTTCAGCAAGATGGGAGTGAAGCAGGAAAGTAGTGATGAAGAGGAAGATGGAGCATGCGGGTGGTCGAAGGACATGAGTAGAGAGTTCATGAGTGCACGGGAGGCGAGAGAGCGCCTGAGAGAGTCGGCGGTGAAGATGGCTAGAGACGCGGGAATGTCGCCATCTTCAGCGGCATTTCGCGGCATTTCCAAGCTGGATGTAAACAACAATGGCGGCGCCCATCAACCAGCAGCAGCAGCCGCCGCGTCCGTGAAAACACCCAAATACTCGGGTAAGGCAGACTGGGAGGCTTTCCATGCCCAATTTGAAATACTTGCACATGCCGGGGGGTGGTCAATAGAGACTAAAGCACTACAGCTAGCTTTGTGCCTCACAGACGAGGCTCTTTCATGTCTGCTACTGCTTAGCCCTGTGGACCGACTCAGCTATGAAGCGTTAGCGGGGGCTTTGAAGAAGCGGTTTGGACAGTGTTTCCCGCCAGAGCTGCTCCGGAACGAGTTAAGTAACCGCTGTAGGGAGTGTGGAGAGACGCTGCGTGCGTTGGCTAACAACGTGGAGAGCCTGACGCGGCGGGCGTATGCACACATGCCACCCGGAGTGCAGAGTGAGCTGGCACGTGATCAATTCATCAGGGCTCTCCGCCCTGCGGACTTGAGGGTCGAGGTACAGCTGCAGCATCCACAGTCCTTGCAGGCGGCCTTGTAGATGGCTGTGGAGAGAGAGAACGTGTGGAGTGGAGCTGCTAGGAGCAGCGGAGTGCCGGCAGCACCGGCTGTGAAGAGCTGCAGGGAGGAGGAGAAGCCTGCATGGGTTACCGAGATGACGGAAATGATAAGGGCTGTTTCTCTGCAGCCAACACACAGACCAAGTACCAGGGTCTGCTGGGGGTGTGGTCAGCCAGGACATTTGGCCAGAGACTGCCCCAAGGCACCCCGGGCCCAGGGAAACGACGGGGGGCCCGCATAAAGGAGAATATGTGGAACCAAGCCCAAAGACTCCCCAACCAAACCACAGCTCTATTGCCACCGACTCAGACATCCGAGGAAGGAGCCCGACAGCACAGCCGGGGGAGCCAGACTCTACGCTCTCCTGAAGAAGATGACAGCACAGGCGTGGAGCCTGTCGTCGCGGTGGGCCGTGCTGGTGGGGACTCCTGCTATGTCCCTGTCGATGTGGAAGGGGTGCCCTGCACTGCACTGGTGGACACAGGCTCTACAGTAACCCTGGTGAGAGCAGATGTGTTGCCCAGTGGGACTATGTTCGAGCCGACATCGGTGCGTCTACGCACAGTCACAGGAGAGTTGGTGGCTATGAAAGGAAGAGGCGTGCTGTCTGTCGGTGGGGGGAGTTGAAGTGCGGCACCCCGTGTGGATAGCGGATGTACAGGACCCGTGTATTCTGGGTTTGGACTTTTTGAAGGCGACGGGCTGCCTCCTGGATCTTCAAGCAGGCACAGTGAGTTTCCGGGGGGGGCCTGTGATTACTATGACCCGTATCCACAACCCTGCTGAGCCTGCGGGGAGACCCCCCACACCCACCGTGAGTACCCTAGAAACCGAGGAAAACCCTCCCTCCGTTCCGGTATCCCCGGTGACGCCCACTCAGGACAATTCCCCACCTGTCACCCCCGGACTGCGCCACCCGAGCACAGCCCCCCCCCAGTTACCCCAGAAGGAGGTAGAAGAGGCTCAGTCTGCAGTATTGGAGGTGTGGAGGAAGAACTGTGGCGGCCTAAATCCCGAGCAGCAAGAACAATTGGGGCAGCTTCCAGGGCAGTTTTGCCATGGAGGAGGAGGTGGGCCGAACGCATCTGGTGGAACACAAGATTGATACGGGGGACTCGCGTCCCATCAGGTGTCGCCCGCGCCGACTTCCCCTGGCTCGTCAGCAGGCTTGCGACGAGGCAGTGCAGAGCATGCTGCAGGCAGACATTATCGAGCCCTAACCCTACCCTAACCCTCGATAATGTTAGGGTTAGGGCTAACCCTAATGTCGAGCACCTGTAGTCATGGTCCCGAAGAAGACAGGTGGCTGGTGGCTATGCTCAGACTACAGACCGGTGAACGGGGTCACCAAGAAGGATTCATACCCCCTTCCCCGCATCGATGAGTCCCTGGACCTGGTCGCAGGGTCGTCGTGGTTCTCTTCCTTGGACCTCCGCAGCGGGTATTACCAAGTCCCTCTTGCCCCAGAGGCCAGACCAAAAACGGCTTTCTGCACCGGCCGGGGACAATGGCAGTTCAAGGTCCTCAGTTTTGGGCTGTGTAATGCCCCGGCCACCTTTGTGCGATTGATGGACAGGGTGCTGTCTGGGATTCCCCGCCAACAGTGTTTGGTTTACCTGGACGACATCCTGGTGCATGGCAGCTCGTTTGAGGCGGCCCTGGGATCTCTGAAAGTGGTGCTGGAGAGGATCAGAGCCGCTGGTTTGAAGCTACATCCAGATACGTGTCATTTCCTGCAGAGAGAGGTCACTTTCCTGGGCCACAAAGTGGGGGGGGAGGGCATCGGCACCCTGCACGAGAAAGTGCAGGCGGTCACAGGCTGGCCAAATCCTCGCAACCAGAAACAGCTGAAGAGTTTCCTGGGCCTGGCCTCGTACTACAGGAAGTTTGTACGGGGTTTTGCTTGCACTGCCGCA